CAAATTAAACCCAATTTGAGCCAGCTTGAGCTGGCTTTAACAGCTTTTTTAAGCTGAACTAAGCTGAGCCAGCCATTTCTAACCCTATTTGCAATACCAAATACTTCTATATTAGTAAATATATCTGGTTGTTCTTTAAGAATCTGGATAAAAAAAAAAAAGAAGATATATATTAGTATATATATTATAGTTTTAAAATAGAGCCCACCAAGTGAGTACTATGAGTTTACTGAATGATTTACTTGTGATAACTTATAGTACTCTTTGTATTATATATATTTTTATTTGGTAATATGCTATACAAAATTTTCAATAATTAAATTTAATTTTACAAATCTTATTAATTGCAAGTCTAACACATATGATAGAATTTGTTGTATCGTAAACTGATATCCAACATGTTTCACAATATGTTTTCAAAGACCTAACTCTAATATTCATTGACAAAATAGTGTCTTGCAAAATCTGACTTACTAAATAAGATTTATGAATAAATGAAACTAACATATTAGCTTGTTTTAAAATTTCTTTAATCAAGTTATTTTTTACAAGATTAGTGGCTATTAGGTTTAGTACATAAGCAATACAATAAATGCTTAAGATATGAGAATAATTATGATAAATAAATTATCATATATTGTATACATTAAATCCATTATCTGTTACAACTGCAGCAAAATAGTAAAAACTAATTTTTTCAATTATATTTAAAATTTTATTGCTAATAAAATTCACTGTTTAATGTTCTCTCAAATAATCGGCTATAGCATAAAGATATTCACGATGCCTTGGAGTCATAATAATGTAGTTATAAATTGAATTGCCTTTTGGAGAAGTTTAACTGTCAAGAGCTATGAATAAAATTAATTAGTATTATTATTATATAAAATAAAAATTGAAATTGACAAATTATACTTATATAAAGTTAAATTATCTGTTTTTTGTAGCTTAGCTTCTATTTTAATAACAATTCATACAATTTCACCATCAAGCACAGAACTTGAAAGAGTATCTTTATATGATGGTATATAACCAGGTTGCAAAAGTCTCAAGAAATTTCGAAAATATGGGTTATCAATGATTGCAAAAGGAATTCTGCAGTATACAAAAGCTTTAAGTAATGCTTTTGTAATGTTTGCAGATTGTTGAGAGGTTAATTTGTTAATACTTTGGTAATGTAATATGATTGATTGATTAGTTTTAGGTTTTTTTTTAATAGGAGATTTATTATCTTTATCATTATTCACTTTTTTGCCTCTTTTTGCAACTTTAATTAACCATTTTTTTTTAATATTATCTGGTACTGGTCCTTTACAATGAAGTGCTAAATGTGCCTTTATGGTAGAAGGCTTTCCATGTTGCTACTTTCTCCTATTACAATAATAACAACTTGCTTCAAAATGCCTATGCCCATCATTATTATTTTCATTATAGTCATTCCAAATCAACATTCCTGATCTTCCTCTTTTATTTTTATCTGCCTTACATTTTACAGAAGTTTTAATGATTTCTGATAGTTTGGAACTAAAAGATTTATTAATTAATATAATTGTTTTATTCATAATGGTTGTTTTTAATTTTAATTGCAGATTAATGAAATGAAAATACTAGTGTTATATATATAAGTCAAAGAATCTTTTACACTTAAATAATTAAGATTCTAAAGATGCATAAGATACACATTGTTTATACAGTTTTTATATGAATAAATTTTATTTATCAGATGTATTTTCTTTTTTCTTTATGAAAAAATTTTAGTTAATAGCATGAATCAATCAATAAACAAAAATAATTTAATTGACTAAATATAACTACAAAAGTTGTTCATATAAAGGTATAGATAATTTAAGGATGCTCATTATTATTATTACTATATATTTAATTATATTATTAAATTTTTATTACTTTTAAAAAAATACATTATTTGTTTTGTATAATAAACAAATGAATTAATTCTTTAAGTTCGATAAAATCAATATTAGCACCTTTTTTTTCTTGTAGCTATGTAGATTAGATTATTAGATAATAAATATGAATTAATAATTATGACAAAGTTTGTATTTGCTACTAGGAATTCTTATATGCAGCTAACATTTGTTTTGTGTAGCCTGATTCAGCAAACCTGAAATATTTTGCAATAAATTCTTTTTTTTTTTAAATATTAACGGTGAGGCCATGTCTTTAACTTTATTGAAATTCAATTGAAGTTTTTACAAAGAAAAGCTTGCTTTTAAATTACATATGAAGAATAAAGACTCAGACATATAATCTGCGACCTAAACCTATAAGAGTGGCCAAGGCTCACCTAGATTTGGGTTTGAGTAATAATATAAGAGAGGGGGGTGTGATATTTAATCCATTGGATAGTCCAAAGATCATGCAATAAATTCTTATACTGATTTCAAATAGAAAATTAACACAACTTAAAGTTTTGAAAAAAAATTTTTATCTTATGCATATCTAATTGAATAGGTTAAAATTAGGTCATTAATTTAATATCTATGAACTTAATACTGCAAATTAAAACAATTATTTACTAATTGCAACAATTAAATAATTTAATTGAAACCAGTTTTATCAGGATATCAATAAAAGTTTGTAAGAAAGGTTTAAAATGAATGTTAATACTGAATTTTTTTATTACTTAAAATTCAAGAAATTTACTTGTTATAATATGATTAGACAGCCAATTACACATGCGTTTTTATTGCATAAATTATAATCAGGGGTTTTCCAATAAAAGTTGCAATAATAATATGTAATATCAAATATGAATTTCTAAAATTTTGTCATGTTATTTTTTACACAATACCCAAACAAGATTTTTACAGATTACTGACTTAGCTATATTTATTCTATAATTTATAGTATTTGAATTCGATCTTTAGATTATCAATATTTAACTTGAATATATCTAATTAAAAGTCAATTTGTTGAATAATTTAAAGTTTTAAGATTACATTATCAAATGCATAAATATTTATTTAATGAATTAATAGTTTTTAAGTTTGATGCTATTAACCAAAATAGAATATATATTTGGGTTTTGGTTACAAACCCAAACTAGGTAGAAATATCCAAACCCAAACCCAAACTAAGTAGTAATGTTATAACCAAAAAAGAAGTTTGAATCATAATGCTAAACCTAACTACTTCACTAGGTCACCATATCTTGTTTTTATTTATTTATTTTTTTTTTTGGTATTAAGGTAACCTCTTTGGTCTTTTGACTTTTATTAATCACTTATCGGGATTGTGATTCAATGAACCATTACAAGAGAGCATACAATTGGCTACACATGTAACTTTTCTATATTACCTATTTAAGGAGTCCACCCAAAGGTTCTCTACCAATTGTTGTATCTAACATTCCTGCTTGGGTGTTCTACTTTAAACCCTCTGAACCTGTAATCTGTATTAACATCACTGGTCATCTCAGATATACCAGATCATTGTCCTTAACCTTAGGACTAATTTATCCTCAAGGTAAACCTCTCAAAGCCTTCTGTACCTATTTTTACAGCTGACCTAGGTATCACTATGGCAGAACCAACACTTGTGATCAGGACTAACCATTAAATTGCTATGCCTTTGTAGAGTTCACTTAGACCCTAGCATCTACTTCACAGCATAACCCTGGTACTTTAGTATACCCTGCCTTTTTCCTTATTCTTTTACCAAACTCCAAATCCATATAGTCTGTGTAGGACTATGACCAGTTCATCGGTATATCAGGTCAGCCTGATATTCTTTTTTTCTGGTTTGTTCCAATAGCCTGGTTGGTGGTACCTCCAAGACTTCCAACCTGAAGGTTCTTGCCCGTCCGGCTACTAGAACTGGGTACTAGACCTGGGTATCCATTTCACCAGGCTAGTCTTTACAGTAAGGCTGTTAAAGATCCAGCTACCTCTCTACTCAGGTCTTCTTAAATAGATTTCTTGTTACCTAATTTTAACAGATTTATACAGCCACAAGGACTTATTTAGTGTTTGCACTGCCCGATATGTCAGTTTGCATTCCTCTGTGTAACTCCAACATTGCACAAATGCCCTATGACCTGCCAGTCATAATGATGTGACCACCATTACAGGTATCCTAACTCAACCGTTAGTAACAGTTACTGTAATATGAATATTACATAGATAATTATCCAAATTTTCACTGTCAATAGGATTTGAACATCCAATCTACCACTTGAGAGGATGACAACCTAACCACTTCACTAGGTCACCACACCCTTTTTTATTAATATTCTTAAAACTATATATATACATAATTCTATATAATTTCCTAATATATATGTTTAGCATCACTTGGCCACTCTAATAGTACCTAAATGCAATCTGCTGCATTATCTTAGTTAGAGATAAACTGTTTATTTAACTACTTAAAGCATATTAGAAGTGTTTTCTTCTTTCTGTAACAAGCATATTAATTGTCTTGAATGCTTTTTTCTTTATTTGTTTTATTTTTTCTATCTTTTTTTTATTTTTATTTTTATTTTCTTTTTTCTCTTGGTATTTTATTTTCTATCTTATTTTCTTTTAATTTTTCTTTTTCTCTGTTTTTTTTTTTTTATTTTATTTGTTATATTGGAGCTTTTTTCTTATTCTTGTACTTATTCACATTGAATTTTTCATACTTGATCATAAAAGATGTTCTATACTGTTCTAGTTATTATATATATATACTTCTGTATTGTGTTTTTGCTTAATAGCTGTTTCAGTCCTATTTTAATCTTTAATATTATGAGTTCTTTTATTAGTGCTTTTCTGTTTTTAATTTTTTCTTTTTCTATTTCTTCAATAAGTGTCTTATATAGCATTTGTGATAGAATTTTATTTTTATTTTTTTTTTAAGTCCATTTTATACTGTTGCTACTAATATTTTTTGAATCTGTTTCTATAGGCTTCTTTGTTTGTTGCAACTTACCATATGTGCTTGGATTTCTATTTCACTATTTTAACAAACTTGGCAGTCTGCTATTATATATATTTCTGTTTTTTTTCTATTTAGTTTTTCTAATATTAGTAAACTGTCTATTATGCACTTAATTGCTATAGCTCTTCTTGTACTGAGTTTTCTTAATGTATAGTATACTCTACTTGTTCTATTTATTTCTTTCCAAAAACTTGCCCAGTTGTGTAGTACCTGTTCAGTTTCTGACTTTAATAATCTAATTAGATTTGTTTCTCACCAATTAGCTTTAATTTTGGTATTTACAATTATTTTACAAAGAAGTCTTATTGGTATGTCAATATTTTTGTTTTTCTATTCTATATGATACTCTATTCTGTTGCACTTGATCTTTTCTGTGTAAATTATTTCTTTGCTACTTGCTTCTTTTTTTGTGAGTAAGTTTGCTCTATCATTCTATTTATCTTTACTATAACTTTTAATTTTAACTATTTTTAGAGATGAAATCTTGTAGCCTAGTGGTCTAGGTGCCTCTTTCTTCACAAACAAGATCAATAGTTCAATTCCAAATGAAGGCAAAAACTTTGTAATCTATAGAAGTATATAAATGTACATGAAGCCTTATAGCTAAATCTATATGATTAAAAGATTAGTATATAAGGAAGTTTCTGAAAAGAAGTTTCTTAATATAAAGAGTTGACACTTGATACAAGAGAAATGATGAATATACCAAAAATAGAAAGAAGGCACACTAGCAACTGATATGATGAATATAAAAGAAAACTATAAAAAAGAAATAAACTTACTGAAATTCAAACACTTTTGGCATCAAATCAGTTCTAGTAGATATGAAATTTACTAAAATTGGATAAATCTAAAGAGTAATATTAGTATTATACTTAGTAAGTTTGCATCAAGGATAAATTCAAAAGACTATAAATACTTAGTAATATTTAATAAAGTAGTATTTTAATATAAATAGTAATTAAATAGTTCTAACTTGTTTTGTCATAATAATAGTAACATACATTGTATATATATGTAATAAGTATTAAAAATCAGAAAGTTTAAATAGAGAACTCACAGGCAAGTCTTAGGTATGACATCTAGTAGATAACCTATAAGCAGAACTCTTAATTAGATAATGACTAAAGTTATATATATGACTAGTTGTACTTTCATTAATATATTCTGTATATATTATGTAATCTTATATTACTAATAATAAAAAGATATACAGGCAAGATTATCCTTAAAACTAAAAAAAAAAACTAAAAAAAACTTTAATTATTTCTATTTTAATGTTTTTATTTTTAATTAAATCTGCAATATTCATTATTCATATTGTGTTTTTCTTCTTGAGAATTCTTTTATCTCCTATATTTTAAATTGCTCTGCTAATATTTCTTAATACTGTAATGCTATCTGTATATACTTTTATACTTTTCTTTTTTGAGACTGTTAGAATTGCCAACTATATTGCTGCCAGTTCTGCTATTGTTGCTGAAGATCATCTTTCAAGTTCTAATGCTACTTTCTCTTTTGGCTAATCTTTTCTATCTCCTAGTTGCATCTAACTGATACCCATCTTTTCTATACTATTTTCT